TAGAGTCGTGTTTAAGTGAGTATAGTTTAGCTTGACTTCAATCTGAAGTCCTTGTAGTTTATATAGAACTCCTTACTTGTTACCCAAGATGGTTTCATGAGACTTTGGTGCTACCATACATCCTTTAACATTGCTAAGGTAGGGGACCATGAGGTAGTTGACAATGGATGTATATACTCGTTGTATTCATGCTGATAACAGACCACATTCCCCTGATCAACCATTTCTGTGATTCTAGGGGGAGGGAGACCAGTTGAGGTGGCAGCCCACACATGCATGCATGCATAGCTTTCACGTTCTTATGAGAGGTTCCCTTAGCTCAGTATCATTATGCCTTGGCTCGGTCCTTTGTAAGGCTGCTTATAGAGATGGGCTGACCCATTTAGATATCTTTGTGTGGGCTCGGCCCACTTTGGTTTTGGGTAATGGGTTCGACCCAACAGTTCGGTCCAAAGATTGAGTCCTGCAGCTCGACCTGGCCCAACTTCACGGTTGGACTGATCTTTTCACTGCGAGTTGGGCCTAAGTGCTTGAGGACTTGGGATGAGCTGTTGATCATGGAGTTGGGCTTGATTGGCTTACCCTCACATTCACCTGACCCACTTGGACTTCGGTTTGGTGGATTGGGCCGGCCTAAGATTTGGATTCGATCTTTTGATATTTTGCTCCTTCAGGCTTTGAACAATAAGTTTTTGTCCAACCTTTATTATTTGGGCCTATGGACAATGAGGTTTTATTTTGCAAAGCCTTTGGACAATGAGTTTTTGTCCGACCTTTATTTTTATTTTTTTAAGCCTTTAGGTAAGGGAGATATTTTGTTATGGAGTAGGGATGGCAATCTGAACCTGGCCAGACGGGGATCCGACCCTCCGATCCCGAATTGAGCGGTTATTCCCCGAAAAATATCCCCGACGGGCCGGGGATGGTATTAAAAAATAAATCCCCGGTGATATTTGGCCCAGGGACGGGGATACATGTTTTAGTCCTGGACCCGGCCCGGCCCCGGCCCCGAGCCCTGCCCCGCTTGTCCCTCGAATTATATATATATTATTTATGTACTTTTTTGATTTTATGTTCCTTATCTCGTCTCTTATTCATTTAGATCTACTTCATCACATCTCACTCTTCCTTACGTCTCTCTCTTACTCTTCACCGTCTCTGGTCTCTCTCTTATTCACAGTCTCTCACCGCCGAATCAGACAGCGCCTCCTCCTCCTCCTCCTCCTTTGTGCTCCACCCCTTCCTCCTCCTCCTCCTCGCAAAGAGAGCAGAGAGCAAATAGAGAGAGAGAGAGCATCGAACATCGTCGCCATCGCCGTCACTGAGCGCCACCTCCTCCTTCTCCGGTGTTTGTTCCCTCTGCCACGACACTCACTCTCTCTCTCTCTCTCTCTACTTAGATCTGTCTTTTATTCAGATATGTCTCCCTCTTTGTGAATCTATGATGTCGATGATGTTGTTATGAATCTGTGATGTTGATAATGTTGTTGATGTCGTTTGATGATGTTGTTGATCATTGTTGTTAACTTCTTGTTGTTGCTGTTTGGGTTTGATTATTTATTTATTTTTATTTTTTTGTTTTTTCGTCTGGAGAATTTTCGGGGTCGGGGAAACCCGATCCCCGTTAGGGGGAGGGGACGGGAAAGGTAATAGGTCCCCCGCCGGGGATCGGGGATGGGGAAGATTTTACCATCGGGGACGGGGAGTATGATCCCCGATCCTGCCCCGCCCCGCCCCGTTGCCATTCCTATTATGGAGGCTTTTGACAAGGAGTTTCTTTTTTAAAATATATTTCTAGGTGTTTAGATAAGGCCTTTTTTTTTTTTTTCCTTCAACAAAGATCAAAAAAGGAAAAAATTTGAAGCCTTGTCTAAATTGCCTAATGGAAGGGTAGCCACTGACATGCAATAGTACTGTGGTTGGCCATGTCTTAGCAAAATTTTTGTTAGGTTTAGATTAGGGGTGTACACGGTCCGGATTACTTCGGTTCTGAGAAAATTCAAGAACCAGACCGATCCTAACGGTTCTGTGATTTTGATAATCAGACCAGACCATTACACTTGTAAAACCGGACCAGAACCAAACCGAAAAAACGGTTCGGTTTCGGTTTGGTTCATGGTTCCAAAAATTTCTATTTACAAGAATAAATTGTTAATATTAGCAAAATAATTACTCAAACTAATTACATTTAACTTGTGGTTGGCCATGTCTTAGCAAAATTTTTGTTAGGTTTAGATTAGGGGTGTACACGGTCCGGATTGCTTCGGTTCTGAGAAAATTCAAGAACCGGACCGATCCTAACGGTTCTGTGATTTTGATAATCAGACCCGACCATTACACTTGTAAAACCGGACCAGAACCAAACCGAAAAAACGGTTCGGTTTCGGTTTGGTTCATGGTTCCAAAAATTTCTATTTACAAGAATAAATTGTTAATATTAGCAAAATAATTACTCAAACTAATTACATTTAACTCATGATAAAAACTAATAATATTAAGGCATTACTCAACATTAAATATCTATACCATCCTAATATCATTAAAATTATAAGAAACCAATTAATAAAAATAAAACTTGATATTATATATATATATATATATATATATCTTTTAAAATTCGGTTCGGTTCAGTTCGAACCGCGGTTTTTCATAAAATCCATTAACCAAACCGTTTTTACGGTTCTCATATTTCTTAATCCAAAACCGAACGCAAGATTCGGTCTGGTTCGGTCTAGATTACCGATTTAAACGGATTTTTGAACAACCCTAGTTTAGATGGATAGAATATTAATTAAAATTTCATTAAATAACATAATGATCATGTAATTATATTGAGATTTTATGCCTTAAAAGTTTAAGGGCGTCCTTAGAGTAAAAATAGTAGCAATACAAATAATAAAAAGAGAAAGAGAGAAGAAAAATGATGATATAAATGATTGAATGAACAATTAAATTACAAGTAAAGTACATAGACTACTCATATTTAAGTTTAAACTATTCCTATGTAAATTAGATCTACTCCTAAGATAGAAAAGAAATGAAAATCAAGTCATGTGTTGATTTATTGGTGATCATTACAATAAAGCTATCAATGGCTATTTATACAAAGATATGTAGAAAAAAAAAACTTCTATTAACCATCATCTAACCACTTGTATAACTTTCATCTTCTTACATTGTTTTTTGTCTTCTATCTTTTGAATTTTCAAAACTTAATTTAACTTCTGTTAACTTCTAAGATTTTTCTATATAATAATAATAGTAAATAATTTAAACTTAATCATAATTAATAAAAATCTTATTTATGTGCAAACATCACATATATATGTACTCATAATTATCTTTTGGTCTGACAAAGAGGGAGACAGAGATATTTAGCTCAAATTCAAATGGTTATTGGATTGAAGGCTCAAGGAATTTTTAATCAAGCCCTCACACCACTTTCTAAGGATATTCAAGCTCATCAGTCATCACTGTTAAAATGTTTCATACTGAATAATGAGAATTATACACACACATAAAAAAATATTAAAAAAAAAGCGGCCCAGTTTAAAAATGAATACAATTTTCGTATCTTATGTATTTATCAAATTTATTTTTGGTTTTTCACATTTTATTTATTGTTTAAGTATATTTATATCATATACATCTAAAACATACAAAATTATTTTGTTAATACTTAAAAACTAAACAAAATTGATTTTGTGAAAACCCTAAACCAAACGGGTTTTGGATTTTGGTTTTTGGAATAAGTTTTTAAATATCCTAAACCAAACAAGTTTTAAGTTTTAGATTTTTAAAAATTGATTCAAAAATTGAGCTAATCAAATTTTAAATTTTAAATTTTGAATTTCGAAAAATTGATTCAAAAATTAAACCAAAGCACCCATGGTTTTTGAATTTTGAGTGTGAAGAGAAAGATCATGAAGATGGGTGTTTGATAACTTAATTTTATTTTAGTGAGATAGGGCTCATTTAGAAACTTATTATTTTAGTTTAAAAGTTAAAAAGTCATTAAAAAAATTAAAAAATTAACAATTTATACCACAAAATCAAAAAAAAAAATTCTTTCTATTTTTTGTACATTTTTTCATAAAAAATTATTTTAAATATATTAATTTTTTATCATATATTTTAATTGAAAAATTAAAAAATTATTAAAATAGCTCCTTTTCAAAAAGAGACGTTATTATAAAAAAAAACAAATAAGGTTAATTGGTAATAAGGTGGTGATTTTGCCGTTTTAGGTAGAATAGGATGTCACCATCATCATTTGACTTCAACTCAATAATAACAGTTGTTTGGTAGATTAAGTTGGATTTGTTTAGCAATTAAATTTGATGAGGTTATAAATATGATAAAATTAAGTGGAGAATATAGTGGTATTAGTTTGAAGATATATGATAAAATATATTTGTTTGTATATTAGTGTGGTGATATTAATTTGTTAGGATTAAATCTATAAAATTATGTACACACTCTCAATTTTATAAAAATTAGCTTTGTTGTCTTTGTATTGTAAGAGCAAAATTGTCTTTTCACATCTAATTCTATGAGATTGGATTAACAATCCAACCCTCTCACTACAAGAAATGTCACTTTTGGCTACCAAAATATTGGTCGCCAAAAGTCTAATATTTAGTCGCCGAAACCATTTAGCGACTAAAATATCTCCTATGGGAAAGCTAATCCCACTATGTGGGTGTATTGATAATCTCATGAGACTATTGGTTCTTTTTTATTTTTGTCAACCAAACATGATTATTTAGGGCTCACAAGATTGCTAATCCAATCCTTTCATTTATGGAATCAAACAAACATGACCTTAAGGAACTGACTTGTTATACAAGTCAAAAGTTTAAGGGATGTCAATATAATTTTGTCAAATTTTGTGGGTAGCGTATAATTTCTCTAAACCAAAGAGAAATTTTGTAATTTATCCTAAAAATAAAAACTAATTAAAGACAGACTTCTAGCAATCACCGAGGAAAGAAAGAAAGAAATAAATAAAATAACGTATTATTTTATTATAAGGAAAAGTCTTTAGGAAAATTCAGTCGGGGGGTGTCCAAGCTCCATGACCCAAATTAACAAGGAAGTTTTTAGAACAAAACCCCAGAGGACGAAACAGCTTTTAGATTCATGGCAGCTGCAGGTACGTAGTTAACAAGTAATGTGAAGGGCCGGTCTATCATCAATCACCTTTCTAAATTGAAGCTGCTTTGCTTATATAGTACATACAAATACATACATAATATATATATATATATATATGTTTGTGTATGTATAGTCATGTCATGGATGGTTGATTAAACGCCTCTCTGGAGCATCTCTTGGTACCTCTTGAAGGAGGCCAGCTTCTGCATGCGCATACGTTTATGAAACTTCATGATGAACAAGTCTGCAACCTGATCTATCTCATCTTCGAGCTTGAAATCCTCTCCTCCTTCCTTTGAATTCTTCACCAAATCAATAACCGATCCGTTAGGATCACCTGAGTCCAGCTCATCCTCCTCCTCCTCCTCCTCGAAAAGCGAGTGCGTCAGATCTGGATACTTGTCATCACCATCTTCTTCTTCATAATTGTAATTGTAGTAGTATTGATCCTCCTGATCACCTTCTTCAACCAGATGGGTGTGACTTGAGCTCGAAGGCACCGACTCCAAGGCATTGTAGAGCACAATGGCCTTGTTTTGGTCATTGTCTTCTTCTTCATCGCCTCTCTTGTCTTGGTGCCCTAGGATTCCTTGAATCTTCTGAGAGATTGAACCTAGCGAAAACTTCTTGTTCTTCAACAGCGATAATACTATAAGTCGAGCTTTCAGGGCACTGGTTTTGTTTCTAATGGCCATCGATTTAGCTTTAGTAATGGAGCATAACACAGAGATGATGTGTTTCAAGAAAATTGAAGCACTGCTGTTCTTCATTTTTCCTTACTGGAAGTGGAAGAAATTAATCAATTTCACGATAGACCAACCAAAACCCAAAAATATTTTGCACCAAAAAAAATATATATATGAAGAATAAAACAACTGAAATGGAAATGAAATCTGGAAGTTCTAGCCTCTGTTTATGTAATCAAATGTAAATGCATGCAGTACAAGTGTTGGACATGAGGAAGGACTATAGTCTTTTGATGGGCTTTTATAGAAGCACCTACTCACGGACTCAAACTCTCAACTAGTTTAAATTAAAGTGGATGCCTCGTGATTAAGAAAGTTGAAAAAGCAAACCTCCTCACTAAGTAATCTCCTCTTCCAACATAACTCTGTCAAGTAAATGCCATTAAATTCAAGATAACCACGTCAAATAATCTCTTTTTTGTTGATTTAAAATAGTAAAAATTCAATTAAAAATAATACATAAAAACTTTATAGTTTGAAATTTATGTCATTTTAATTCCTAATTTTTTAATTATAATATATTTAACTCTGAATTTTAAATCTTATTTCAAATAAGGACAATTGAAGATACTATTAGATTTTTCAATGACAAAATCGTCAATTTAATAAAATATAAATTAATTTGACAAAAATAAATGTCAAAAAATTATTTCTACCTACTAAAGATAAAATTAATAAATCTTTTAGACATTTATTTATTTTTTTTACTAAATTAATTTTTATTATGTATTTGGATGATGATCATGTAAAATTAATATTTAAAAATTAATCATGTAATTTTTATTAATTTTTATCAAGTTTACATAATTTTATTTTTAGTGTGTAGAAATAATTTTTAAAAATTTTTAAATATTTTTTTGACATTTATTTTTATCAAATTAATTTATATTTTATCAAATTGACGATTTTGCCCTTGAAATTAAGCAATGGTATGTTCAATTGTCCTTATTTGGAACATGATTTAAAATTTAGAGTCAAATGTGTCACAATTGAAAAATCAGAGACTAAAATAACACAAGTCCCATACTACAGAAACAATTAGCATAATTTGCCCATAAAAAAATCAGACTTGATCATGAGAGTAATAAATATTGTTTACCAATAACGAAAGCAACATTTGCCTTTTTGAGTTTGAAGAAAAGAACATGAATATTTGGCCACTTATGAAACAGAGCCTACCCACATAAATTTTTAGATAAGTTGATGATCGATAATTCAATAATCAGAATCAAGTCTAGCATTTGATATTTTATAAACTTTGTTTAGATGCATTACCCTTCAAAAATTAAATGAAGTAGTTTAACTATTTGACTTCTCAAGCTTTTTATACAAATTTGGAAGTATTTCAGACGTCAATTAGTTTTGTACAAATTCAAATTGCTAAAAATGTGTGAAATTTGTATGATGACTCTTATTAATAGTATAATAATTTCACATTTTTATAAATACTGTGATGCATTATTTTACTAAGGGCTATTTAGGAAGATGATTGAAAATTATCTTTTATCTTTTACTTTAATTTAGATCATATTTAAAAAAAAATTAAATAACCAACTTTTAACCGAAAACAACCTAAATAATTGTACAAATCATGATTAACCAGAAAAATATCTTGGCCGTGCCACGTAGGTGAAAAAGAGAAGATTTCTTGATGGGTTACATCAACTTTTTTGGCATAAAAAAGAAAAGACAAATTACAAGCACCATTCGAAATTTGGTAAAAATATAAATTTTTTTTTGAAATTTAAGAAATTATAAATTATTCTTGAAGGGTCAAATTTTCATAATAAATTAAGAAAAATTAAGGAAGAATCTGTATGAAAATAAAAACCGCAGGAGGTAATTTGTTATGAAAATATAAATCTCAGGGGTCGGATGTAATTTCTCAAACCTCAGAGAAAAATTTATATTTTCACCAAACCTCAAAGGAGGTGTTTGTAATTTGGCCAAAAAGAAAGGTAGCAACAATTTTTCATTTTTTTTTATTTATATTTTTGTCTTATTTGATTTTATTTTTGAAAAAATTACATAATTAACCAGAAAAATATCTTGGTCGTGCCACGTAGGTGAAAAAGAGAAGATTTCTTGATGGGTTACATCAACTTTTTTTGTCATAAAAAAGAAGATAGCAACAATTTTTCATTTTTTATTTATTTATATTTTTGAAAAAATTACATATCGATGTTATCTTTTAAAAATAATTACTCACTAATGAAAAATTTATAATTTTAATTATTAAATTTGGTAAAACTTATCACTAATTTAAAATTTATTTTACAAACATGGAAAATATTATAATACACACATGGTATACCTTATGTACCTTATAATTAAAAAAATAGTATAATTTTATAATTTTTGAGTCATAATTAAAAAATTTATAACCAAATAACATATAAAATATAATCAAAGATCTCATAAATTATTATTAAAATAAAATTATAATTAATAAAAAAATTAATTATAACTAAAGAAAAAAATATAATTAAAGATACATATGATATTAGGTGTATATAATAAAATTCTCCTCATCAAAAAATTTAAACTGTTAAAAGAGAATGCCTTTTTATTATTGATATCTCAACATATAAATAATTTCTCAGGTCTGCAACTACTATCCTCCCTATGAAGTATGAGTATTTCGAAAAAGGAGAATTTTTTTTAAGGTCCCTAATAAGAGTAATTTACAGCATAAAGGACACCAAAAATAGGAATGATGTCTCAGGTCCCTCACTAACGACAGGCAAAAAATTTAAAATGAAAAAATTAATAATGTTCTCAGTTTTAAAATAGAAAAAAAAAACTAATAATGTTTTGGGTTTTATTGGATAATTGAATCAAACCAATAAGTAGAAGAATAAAAACATTTAATCTCATGCTCTGCTTTTTTCTTCAATTAATGAAATAATTATCTTGAATATTACTATGCAAAATTGATAATATTCTTAATTTTAAAAATTAGGAAAAACTGATAATATTCTCAGTTTTACTAAATAAGACTTATTGATTCAAAAAATCTTAGACAATACCTAAGTTACTAAAATATTTGTAAATAAGACTTTTAGATAATTAATTCAAGTTTTATTATGAGGATATTTTGACTAAATCCCTCTATTAAAATGTGAGTCAATTTTTTAAATTTTACTTGTCATGTCATTCAGGAGATTTGGGGATGAAATTGTGTGAATAAATTATTTTTATATATTAAAAAAATAAAAATAAAAAATAAAAAATAAAAAA